CACTAGCCGATGACGGCAAATGAGCCAGGAAAGGCCTTCCTAGTGTCCCATGTCTTTGCTGGTAATGCCCTTGTGCAAATATATATGTGGATTACGGGCACAAATCAATTACCGACAGAGACAACGAAGGTTCGAATGGTCGTTTCTGGCTTACTAGCCGTCGTCAGCCATCCATACCTAGCCCCAGGGGTAACGGACAGGTAGATCTTTAAATGAAGAAAGTCATCGTCAACAAGGACAATGCGTACTGGAATGACCATTTCTGACTTTTTTTATGGAATCCGCCAGTCATACCAAACCAGAAGTGTTGCGGCACCCATACATATGAAAGAGACTACATAACGCACTCCCGACACAGAATCCTGCTAAAAGCCCAGACATGTGTTTCGCTTATTTTTCTGCTATTGCATGATGCAGCAATAAGGTATTCGGCTCCTTAGTGGGTCTCCTAGCGTTGCCTCTCGGTTTCGGGAACAAGCTCTCCAGAAAACCATAAATCGAACTCTCCAATTATATTGCATCATTGTTTTCTTGCAGAAATCAGCGCGAACGATGGTTGGATGCTATCAAGGACGGCTACTACAGTATCCCCAGTTGTGTAACCTACGATACCTGGGGTAAGTTGTTGCTAGGCCTGGTATGTCATGCTTCTTGAAGGGCCAAACTAAGAACTTTCCTGTGTCTTTTGTGTCCAATCAGACTGCCCCCAAGTGCTTGCTATCACCGGTCACGGTGCAACAGAATCCGATGAACTTGACGTGAAGGAGGGCGACCTCATGAATGTCATTGTGAAGCTGTCGGATGGTGAGTCATTTGGCAGATATTTTGTGCACGTATAGAAGAGCATGACGCAGCAGCTGGTTTGGAAATTGGCAGTGCCCAGAACTACAATCTGAGTCCTAAATGCTGAAGTTTGCAAAAGTCGAAAATTCGCTCGTAAATCAGCCTGTAAAAAACCCAAAAAACAATAACTGATAACCTTAAGCAAATGTACAACTTAAAGGGAATATAAAAAGGATTATTAGTTTGTTTGAAGATGCCAATATTTTTAGAACATAAATTTCGAAATCGTGAAAAATCGCTGTTGCTGTGACCAATGCATGCAAATATAATTGTGAGATGAAATCGCAAACATACTTTTTTGCGTATATGATAAGAGATTTCTTTGCAGATTTGTCTGCTATTGGAGTACAATTAGTTGTCCTTGAAAATCTGGTGAATATTTCATGGTTTTTCGCACGTTTAAGTTTTTTCATGAGTTAAGAGGCCGTTCCATTTGTTTATCAGGACCTTCAAAATAAGCTAGCTCTTAAGAGTATTCTTTGAAAAAGTTACTTTTGCATAAACTTTCGGTAACAGTTAGGTTGATCTATCACTTTAGATACTCCTAGCGTCAGAATGCTGCCTTATAGTACCGGTGATATAAGCATAGCTTAATTTGTAGTTTATTAGTTTACATTTATATTTAGGTGTATTTCAGTTTTTAGTTTACTTCGTCTTGTTAAGTTTAACTTAGATCGGTTTATTAAGTTCAGCTTAGTATATAAAAATTATTCAAGTGCATTTATTAAGCTTCAGCGGTATCTAATTAAGCTAAAAGCCAACCTTATCTAAAATTAAAATTAATGTAATATATTAACTACTGAACTAAAAAATAATGGAAAGTATTAAAACGTAAAGCAGCCACAGGACTAGTGGCTAGGGCTTTCCAAAGTGGTGGACCAACCTTACTGTTACCAAGCGTTCTTATAAAGATGGCCGTTTGGGGCATATTCTTATACTACATAACACACCACAACTCAATGTCAAACAAAAAAACGACAGCAAATGTCCGATATTTTTATGCTTGATATCAGTTTAAACACCTAATACGCTAGGTTTTAAAAGCAAAAATATATGGGTATGTAGCCCTTCCTAGGTTAGTGCCTAAACAAAAATTGGGAATGTCGACAAGATGTTTTTATTTTCCCAAACATGAGTGCTGCACTTTTGGCTAAAAATAAAAAAACTGGCATTTCGCTTTATAGTGGAGGGTTTTCGACCATATTTTGTTACTTCAAGACCTGATTTTAAGCTGGAAAAAGCACCGAAATTGGCCAGAGGTATATTATTTTGTGTAAATGGTTAATTTTCTGTTCGCTGTGATCTTAATTACGTATTTGTGGATAATATATTGCGTAAAATCCCATCTAGCAAAACGCCTATAGTTTAACAAGATTGTTTTCAAAGTTCGTTAACTATTCCTATGGTTAAATTGCAAAGTCAGTTTATTAGGCAAAACGTGTTTTTCGGCAATTCTTCGTTAGGCCTTTAACTTTGCAAAACAATGAACATTTGAACGGGTGCTAAAATCAATAATTGTCCTAGGTGGGGGTTTTAATTCGCCCAAGCATGCGGTTTCTAGCCCATTGGTGGCGTAGGGTTCGGCAAGCAGGGACGAAACTAGAAGAAATTGTATCGGATCGCACGAAGTTTACAAAGTCGGATAGAGACAAGGACAGGAGAGAGGCCATTGAAGGCCACCTGACAAAGTTACTTAAGGAGCTTAACAAAGAAGGATGTTTAGCTGACAAAGAGGTGGAGGCACTCAGACCCGTTGGTACTACAATACCTAGAATATCTGATCTTCCAAAAATTCATAAACAAGGCATACAACTTCTTCCTATCTTGGACATGAGAAACTCGCCCCACCACTCCATTGCAAAATGGCTCGTCAAAAAGTTGAAGCCACTACAGAGCTTTCTGTACCCCAGAAGCCTGAAGGACACTTTTGACTTCGTCGAAGATATCAAGGATATCCACATTCGCGAGATGAAAATGCTTTTATTAGATGTTTCTTCACTCTTTTCCAGCGAAGCACTGGTAGAAACTACAGAGTACCTATGTGATTTCATACGGGAAACAAACTACCAAATAGGGATGACAGTGGAGATTCTAAAAGAACCACTGACGTGCTGTACACACAACGTAGTTTCGGTGTAATGGACGGTTGTACAAGCAAATAGACGGAGTAGCGATGGGGTCACCACTTGGACCATTTCTCGAGAATTTCTTCATGGGCAAACTCGAAGAAACAAGGCTAAAAGACACAATAAATGGGCTTAAGTTCTATGGTCGATACGTTGATGATATATTTTGCCCGACAAATAACACTACTGATATCGATGTCCTAGTGAAAAAGCTTAGCACGGTCCACACAGCACTGAAATTTACTGCGGAAGTGGAGGCGAACAATGAATTCGCTTTCTTAGACGTCCTTTTACACAGACAAGATGATGGTGCAATACGGATATTCAGAAAGAAAACCTGGACGGGGCAATACAGTAACTTTCACAGTTTCGTTCCTCTTGATCTCAAACGAAACTTAGTCCAGGTATTAGCAGCCAGAATACGACGCATCTGGTCTCCTGAAACAGTGGGAGTGAATTGCAACAGCTACAAAACACACTCCGCGAAAATGGATACCCCGAAAGGTTCATCCTCCGAAACATCAAGGAGCGTGTCACAAAGGCTGCCGTTGTAACGACAGAATAGAAAGATTTATTCATAAGATTGCCTTTTCTAGAAGACGCAGCAAGCGAACTAGTAAGACGACGTCTAAGGGCAGCAGTCACAAGTGCCTTCCCAGTGGCAAACCTACGCGTATTCTTCACCAACTCCCCCCTTTTATGGATGGTGGGAACGACCGAATACCGTTGCAGGCCACATCCATGTGCATTTTTTCATTCACCTGCTCCTGTGCGGCGGAATGTATTGGCCGAACAACGTGACGTCTTGAAAAGAGGATATGCGAGCATACACCAGCCTGGCTCGGCAGAACATAAAATCGATCGATCCCAAGTTCAATTCTCGCACACTTGATCGATACAAACCACCAAGTTGACGCGAGAGAGGCCTTTAAAGTCATATACCGGGCTCCGACACACTATTCTAAAGGCCTGCGCAAACGGGTGCTCGCCACAGCCGAAGCAGTGACAATCCGCTTAGCAAAGCCCGCTCTCTGCTGTCAAAAGACTCTGGTAGTCGCAGTCTGCCTACCCTGGTAAACCATCCCAGTTAATACCGTACCGCCAGAACAGACACTGAGAATACCCCTTACTCCCCCCTCTTCCCTGCTTGCCGGACACAACGCCACCAACGGGTTAGAACCCGCATGCGTGAGACGAGGGAACACTACGATGGCTAATTAAAACCCCCACCCTTTCCCCCTACCCCGAGAACCATTTAAGTACTGCACCACCTATAACTGACCATTTTTGTCCTTGCATTGTACTGGCACAATGATGAAGCCAAAGGCTCGTTGTCTTGCTAGTTCAGCTTAGAGGATATTGATATTCATTGATGCTTGTTTACCATCGATCGCTAACGGAACTCACTCGTCTTGCTCTGCTTTGTGTCTCATTCT